CACAGACTCTACACTTTGAGCTGTAGCCTAATACTACTGTGTTTAGTCTTGCTATAGTTGCTTATTTTTTATTCACTCAGAGTAAAATGTTTGTTTAATCAGAGTTCTTTCAGGGATTTAGGAAGATGGCTTAGTCTGTAATGTATGAAGACCTGAATTCACATCCCCATATAAACTGCCACACACACACACACACACACACACACACACACACTTATGCTGGAGAACTCACAAACACCCACACTCACATATTCATGTGAATACACCCCCCCACCCGGTCCCATACACACTCACATCATGAGTTCTTTCAATTTCACTCTTGTGTTCCTTACATGCCCCACATCGATGTGTTAAGGTTTAGATTTTTTCTTTTCAGTATTCATTGGCTACATGAATGGTAGGTATCCATTTTCTCAGGGTCTTCAATTTCCAGCACAGGAGAACATCTCTGAATTTACTTGGATCTTGAGTTTTCCATCAGTCTTTCAGATTTCCTTCTTTAAGCTCTTTACAGATTTATTAGATTTCTATCTATGGCACAAGATGGGGTTAAGTGTTTTAATTACAAGATAAGACTACATCACTGACACACAGACCAACTGGATTTTGTGTGTTGACGTTTTTGTCCTAAAATTCTGCTATAATTGCTAATGAGTGAAATGAGGATTTAGGAAACCTTTGTCTTTTTATATAGATAGACAATCATGCCATCTGTAATTTCCTTTTCCTTCCTTTTCACTAGCTAGGCCTTTGGGCATGTCATATGCTCACAAGCACTTTTTAATACTCATTCTTTCCTCAACCACTACTTTCTTCAAACTTCTCCTTTCTCAAAGCAGTCCATTTCTTAATTTTCTGTTTTGTTCATATTTTATCTCTGAAATACTGGGTTCATGTCTTACTCCTCTATCTCCGTCATTGTTCACTTTGTACTGCAGCACCTTTAAATGAAATCCAACTATAATCCTTTTGTGTAGTATTCTTAAAAATATTTGCTGTGAGTGAGCCTACCCATGGACCTGGGTAGAGTAATAGCACAACTTCCAGGAGTCAAGTCACCTTCCTCACGAATGTCCTGGAGACTGAATGTAGGTCCTCAGGCTTGGCAGCAAGCATCCTTACTCACTAAAGCCATCTTGCTGGCTGGGCAGTATCTGTATTTTTAAGGAGGGGGGTACCGCTTTTATACTCTTAAGACTACAAATACCTTCTGTTGCTTTAGTAAAATAGCACACATGTACCTGTGTCTTTTTTCTTCCTGCTGTCTGTTCCTGTTCAATTTAGACCCTAGCAGTTTCTCCATGGTGCTGGGCTTAGCTTTAGAACATTACCCCCATATGCAGGTTTTAGCAATTCCACAGTGGCAACTCCACAGCTTCCTGATCATTCTTTTACATTCTCCTTGGATTTGAGTTTGCTAGACCACCTGTTAGTTTTCTTGTTGGTGTCACATAGTATCCCTTACTCTGCAGCAAATGCTCAGCAGTTAGTGGCCCTCCTGTTCCCAGGGCTTTCAGATTCTTTTTTTGCCTTAGATACAGCAGTCTGAGACAGCTAGCCACACCAGATGCTCCACTTGTTTCTATGAGGAGATTCAGGAGGTTCACAAATGTTCCTCCCTATGCATCTTCCCAGCATCTTCAATATTTATGAATTATAAGGTACTTTAAGTTATCGTTGAAGTTTTTCCTCTGTTTTCTAATTCAACCAAAGTGCCAGTAGAAATAAATATAGTGGAGAAGCTATTTCTTCTTTTTAGATACCTTTCAAGTCATGTTTTAGATTGAGTCCATTTGGGCCCTCCAGTCTAAAATTAAAGTATTCACAAGTGTTACTCTGCCCCCCACATATCACTCCCAACTTGCTGAAGAGTACTCAGACTTAAAGCTAACTAAATTTTTAGTGGAATTTTTAGTGAATGCCCAATGTGGCGAAACATATGGAGAAGCTCATAACCACATTTATTACCATGTTTGGTGCCCTAAAATTCTGTTCTATCTGTAGCTTTTTCTCCTACTTTACAATGTGTGGTCCAACTTAAACTGCCTGCCAATTGTCTGAAACTGGTGTACAGATATGACTTATTTAGGCTGCTCAATATTTACTTGTGATTAAATCACATAAACTCTTTCTTTCCATAAATGTTATTGCATACATTTAAGGCATACATGATACTATGGGATAGATATGAATAGTAAAAAGGTTGCTATGGTGAGGCAAATTAACATATTCACAATTTCATAGTTAAGCAACTTTTTCTGTTTCCTTTGTGATGACAGCAGCTAAAACCACTTCCTTAATATGAAAACAGTGTACAGAACAACTCTATGACCAGCAGTCCTCAGGTTACACATTTACTCTCTAGACTGGCTTATCTTACATGTTGACTCACATCTTCCTCCCCTCCCCTGAGCTTCCCCTTCCTCCTAAGTACTGCTTTATCCCCTATTTCTGTATACTTGATTATTTCCCACACATAAGTGAGAAAACAAAATATTTTAGCTTACTTGATAGCACAAGGTCTTCTAAGCTCATTTACAAGTAGGCAGATGGCAAGATCTTGTTTTTCCATGGCTAATAGCTTATTGTATATATTTACCAGTTTCTTACTCCATTCATTTGCTAACTCAGACAGATATTAGTTTCCCTATTTTGATGATGGGGATTGCTGCAAGGAACATAGCAGTGCATGTATCTAAGAGGCAGTGATATGATTTTCTCAGTTTTCTGTATGTAATTCTATTTTTAACTTCTCTAGAAACCCTTGTACTATTTTCTATCATGGTTCCTCAGTATTTTACAAAGCAAAGCAGTGTCAATACCTACAAACCAGACTTCACACAAATTCAACTTCTGACTGCTCTTTCAAAACTTGAGGTCTGCTATCATTGGGGCCATATTGCCACTTGGAGCTTGTACTCTGATTAAAAAGGAAACACCCTCCAGGCTTCCCTGCAGGTGACTTCTCTCTCCTTTGTTACATTCCTGATTCTACAGATACAGTAGGCTCATGACCTGCAGAAACTTCTTCTAGCCGCTCAAAGTTCAAACATCGCACTATTGGGTCTTAAGTCTGTTTCTATTTAGATGTCTGCAGATCCCCCGCATTCCACAAATATTCAAATCCAAGCTTGCTAATTTTTTTAAAGTCCAATTTCCTTTTAGTGTTCTCTAAATGGTTCAGTTAATGGAAGTGTCTTTCTAGCATTGTTCAAATTAGAAGCATCTTTAAAAGTCAGCTTTCTTCTCTCTTCCTTACTCTACCCATTGCTTTTCACTGTGTAAAACCAGCATCATGTTTTGGTCTTTGCTTTTCACTGTTCCCAGTGTTGTAAATTCTTTATATTTCGAAACTGCTGACTTTCCAAGATGGAGCAAAATCGTAAGATCTCTGAAACCATGTGCTCACTTGTTCCTTTATATCTGTAGGCATCTTGAGTATGTATTCATTTCTGGAGCCCCTATTCCTTTAGGACAGAAATAACCATTTAGTCATCATTGCATAAAATCCCAGGACAAATTCATGACTGTTAAATGTGTTAAACATGAGTCTCATAAATCAATGACTGCTTCATGCCACATGACCTTGCCTTAAAAACATTTTATATGCTTCTGTCTTTCTGCAAGTACTTTTCTCTTTTTTTTCCAAATACTTCCGATTGATCCTTCAACTACAAGATCAAATAACTCAGTCAAAATTTGCCATCATTAAAATGGGGACTTTCTCATAACTTAAACAAAACAAAATAAAAACAACAACAACCACCTCTTTTAAATATCGAGGGTGCTAGGCACTACCTCTAAAACTGTATCATTATTTATAAAGCAGATCCCATGGGGCAACTGAACAGCTGCTGAAAGATTTGGCACACTACTATGCCAGCCTGAATTTAATGACCTACATGTGAAGGGCTCCATATCCAATTACTAATCCTTCCTCAGCTACTCTCTGCCCTGATATGGAGGTAGCTGAAAAAAGATGTCCTACTAACAGATCACAAATGGATCCAGTTTGTGCCAATGCTCAGTTAACAGAAATCTTTTAGACTTGAGAGATCCACAACAGAATCCTGGCCCACACCCCAAATACAACTGGAGATTTTAAGGAAGGGCTTCAGTTTTGCCACTAAATTCAGAGACGTTTGAGTTCATCTAAGAGGCTGTAACCATGTCCAAAGATCAAGCATAAAGAAAACTCCACACCTTGTACCTTTCAATATTGAAAGGGGACGAGTTCTATTAAAAAGTTGAAAATAGTTTTTAATTTCCAAATTCTACAATAGTCATCAATCAAAAAACGGCAAATTAATTTTAAAAAAGGTCAATCTACATAAGTGCTTAATTTTTCCCCCGCGGTTGACTTGGTCTATATTTAGCCAAAAGATTATATAAGGTCAAGTATTACAAACGATGAAATATCACTGGTGTTTTGCAAAATAGCATAGAAAAACCTCCAAAGAATGGATTATACAGCTTATGTTTTTACTAAGGATATAAAAAAATATAAACCTTAAAACTCCCAACTTCAACGCATTTTACTAATAACTTCACTTAGGAAAAAAACAATGTGATGTCAGTAGCTTTTGCCTATATAAATCAGAAATCATCTGGGCAATAGGTCATGTTCTCAACACCGAGAAGAGCGCTTCGTCTGTTTCGTATTTTAATTTCTATACGTAGGGCTTTACTCTCTTGCGACGCGAGCATATACGTAAATTAACGCCTGTGAGTACAAATTCAGGTCTCGCTAGGGGAGAACACCTCGTGGTAGCCGCCACTTCCCCAACAAAATCTAGGTCTTGGCCCCGCCCCCAAAGCTCCGCCCCTCTCCCCAACCTAGGAGTTTGTAATCGGCGCCTTTAGATGACGTCATCCGCAAGTGCCGTAACCAGGCGTGCAACCACCGCCTCTGCCTCTGGGAGTTGAAGTTTCTGGAGGAGGACCGGACGCGTGGAGCGGTGGGCACTTCAGAAAGGCTTTCTGACCGCACCCTGGCGTTCCCCCATCGGCCCCGCGGCTTGGTAAATATGGCACTGCGGCTGTCGCGCGGCTGCTCTTTGCTGTCCTTTCGGATGCTAAAGGAACGCGCACCGTGCCGCCGGCCGCTGCCATCGGGGCTTCCGGGGGGAGAGGGCAGAGCCTGGGAAGTAGTTGCCTGTTCTGCAAGGAAGTGACGTCAGGTGGCGCGTCCCCCCGCCCCGCCCCCACGGCCTTCCTTGCGGCGTCCTGATTGGCCAGCTGGGGCCGCGTTCTCGGACGCACAGCAAGCTCGGGGCGGGCACGGCGGGCGTGTGTCTGCGCGTGCGCGTGCCCTGGACCGCGCGGCTCTCCAGGTTTCTGTTGTTGGTGGGGGCCGGGGCCGGAAGTGTGACAGGAAGAGGAATGCGGGGTCGCAGGGCCGCCCGTCGCGGTGCTGCTGCTTTGTTGAGGGAGCGGGCAGGGCGCCTTCCTCTTCCCCGCGCCCCCGGCGGTCGGATGGAGGGAGCCGAGGGGCAGTTGCTGCAGCTGCGGCTGAGCCTCGTGGTGAGCCGAGGACGAGTCTTAAGATCCAGCTGCTGCCAGACGTCACCGACACACTTGGTGTTTAAAGTGTGGCCGCTTGTCTAGCAGCATAGTCTTCCCTGCTACCGCGGCACTGACCAACGCGTTAAAACACAGTTAGAAAAGAAAGAAACACACACACACACACACACACAGACACACACACACCCCAGAAAAGGACCCGGTTACCGCAGGCCATTTGGCTCCTTCCTGCAGGCACTGCCACTTGGCAGTTCCCGAAAAGAAAACCTTACAACCACACCAGGGCTGTTTTATTTTAGCCGGCGTGATGACAGCTCTGGTTTTTGTCTTTGGCCTTCGACGATGTATGCTCTCTCCACACCCTTAGTCATCATTCAGTTCTGAGTTTTATAACCCCATCTGATAACCTATATCCATGAATTAGCCATCCATTTTTTTTTTAATTGTGCTACAGTAAAATCCCACACGTTCGTTCTAGATTTTCTTAAAAAAAAAAAAATGTTCTTAAATACTTGCTTGAGTGGGCTTACTGAATGAAAATGTACCCTGAGCATCGCTGCGGGTCAGGGTGGAGTTCCCAGACTCTGCCATCGAGACGTACGTCATGACCCAAACTAAAAGTATGCTCAAAAGTGCCGTGTTTTGCATAACAGATAACTGCGGTAAATTCGTGTACAGTGTGTTTATGGTACGGTAGACGGTCGGGAGGAAGCTGTCTTGGTAAAGTCTAGCCAAAATAAGATAGCCCGCTAGTATTTTATCTGCATTTCACGTATACTTGCTTCAGTATGTCTGGCTTACTTAATTAAAGCGTAGAAAACTCACCCAGCACAGTGTTTTGAGAATCGCTAAAGTAAATTCGTGTTTCTTTATTTTTGATAGGCTGTTCAGAAATGTCACTATTCTGTGATAGGTCAAATTAAATTTAACTTGAAACATTTAAATGTGAAAGACAGGCTCCCCCTGGTGTAGGTGAGTCGTAAAACGTGGCTTTTGTAATTCTCACAGTATAGCTCAACATCGTGGAGGTTTATTTAACTACACACAGAACTACTGAAAAATATTGCCACGGATAAACAGAAATTCCTTTCATAAAATGTTTTCTTGTGTATTCTAGTTTTGCTTTTCACTTTTCATGTTTAATGAGTCTTGTTTCTTCCATTATCCCTATACATTTTTTTATTTAATACCTTCAGAGCTGACTGTCAACAGTGTGCAATCTGCACGGTCCCTTCAGAATCCCTCACCCCCAAGGTTTTCAGTTACTGGGAAGGGTTGCTGTTAGAACTGGGTTTGAGCCATACTGTATTCAGCTTTCTTTTGATCAGCAAGTTCAGTTCTACCTACTATGGATAGAGATGCATGTGGTTAGACTTAAATGGAGATTTATTTCAGCCAACCCAAAGAATTTCACAGACTGATTACAGAATTAATTTTTATATTTTGCTCTAATCCACCTAAAGTGTTTACAGATATACAATGACATTTGTTGAAAAGAAAATTTGTGTGTATCATTCAAGTTATAAAATTTCAATGAACAAAAGTTGAAGATGTGTGTATATGTGCACTTTTAAAATTAATTTGATATAATATGAATATTAGTATTTGTTTTAATACTCAGATTTAAAATATAGTCCCCTTTATTAATAAGTAATTTGGAAATAGTATTTTTACTGGCTGCTTAATATATGTAACTGACCTTATAGAGTATACATAATTGATGTTATAGAGGAATCATAATTTATTGACTCTCTTTGCTGACATTGCCGACACTCAAGTAAATTCTGACTTTTCACAGTTAAAAGTAATGCTAGAATGAATGCAAATTTTAGTGTATATTTCTGATTCAGGGAATTGCGTTCTAAGAAAATAAATTACTAGGTCAGATGTGTCCCAGTTTTTGCTGTGATAAAACACTGACCAAAGGCAAGCTAAGGAAGGAGTCACTGGCTTATGCTTGTAGCTCACAATTCATCACTGAGGGAAGTCATGACAGACTCAGGCAGACATTGTTGGCTTACTCCAATGCTTACGCTTAGTTAGCGTTTTATATGGCCCAGGACCACTTGCCTAGGGATGGCACTTCCCACAGTGGGCTGGCCTCTTCCATATCAATAAACAGTCTGGACAGTTCTTCATAGATGTGGTCCCAGACTAACATCATCTGGCAGTTCCTCCATTGAGCTTCCTCACATAACCCCTGGCTATCAGTGTGACAGCTGAAGCTAATTAGGACAGTATCAGTGTATTACAACTCTCAGAAGATAACTTGCCTTCTGGAAAACTGTATGACAATGTGTAATCACCATTTCTTTAGTCCTTAATTCATGTTAAGTGAAAGTCAAAGATCTTTGCCATACATGGAATTAACTGTCTAAATTTGTATTTTTATTATAGACAGAGTTTAACATTTGTTGGCATCTATTGGCCATTCGGGTCATTTTTGCTTTGTGTCTGTAAATTATGTGTTCATGTAAAAAAAAAATGTTGCTCTCTAGATTTTCAGAAACAACCAACATGTCGTCTGAGATGCTGCCAGTGTGTCTTGCGACTCCTAATGTGGGAAGAGAGCCAGGTGTAAGTGATGGTGAAGAGGATGGGCAGAAGCCAAGCTTAGATGCAGGGACTGAGCCAATATCTAAGCGGCAGATGAAGAAGCTGATGAAGCAGAAGCAGTGGGAAGAACAGCGAGAACTTCGGAAGTGCGTACTTCAGAGCATGCTACATCCTACTCAGGGATGGGATATCCTCTTAATAGCTGTCTTCCTTACAACTGGTTAGGAAAAAATAAGCTTAGGCATGCTATTAGCTATTAGCTAACACTGAGTTTCTGTTAAAACCACAAATTGTGACTTTGCTTTTTGCAGTACTAATAATGTTAGGCTCAGCATCTTTTTCTCCCCCTAACGCTGCCTGACTAGCAGGACACCTGTTGCAACAGCTGAGACAAGGGAGCTGGTATCAGTGTCCTAGATACGGGATAAAACAACAACACAGGAAGGTCAAACATTGCCCTGACAAGGATGTGGCTAAAACAGGTTTTCATGAAAGCATTTAGGCTACAGCCATGTCTAATGCCAAGATTTAGAAGAGGTTAGAAAAACGTTGGGTTTTTATTTCTGTTCTTTTAGTAAATTTAGTGAAATTTTCTTTTAGTGTTGTCAATGATTATTGAACTAGAAAATCATTTAAGGGATGAGTTATGAAAGTAAAATTCTTTATAACTCTTTTAAGTTTTTCTTAGGCATAGTATAGTATCAGTAATGATACTACTGAATAATATATTCAGTTATTCATTAAAGAAGCTTTATATTATCTTTGCAAAGTCATTTCCTCTATGTGTAAAGTTATTGCAGGAGTAAATAAAGTTGTTGCTGTCTGACCCTTTTCTATCCACAGAAGAGACATGCTTTCATAGAACCATGACTGTTTACAAACATAGTTGGTTTTTTCCTTTTGTTTAATTAGAAATCTTGGGAATGTCTAAATACAGAAATAACAAAACGTTTTGTTTACTAATTTTAGGGAAAAACGAAAAGAAAGCGCAAGAGAAAGAAATTAGAACGACAGTGTCAGCTGGAATCTAGTTCAGATGGGAGCGACAGAAACGCATCCGAAGACATGGTGTCCATAGCAGCCTCCGCCTTATCATCGACTGCAGTTTTGACGATTTGATGGTGTTAAAGGTATCACGAGGTCCCTGTGTGTGAACTAGGTTAAATCCCTCTTATTCTCATATCTAGTATTATGGATAGTATTTATATAGTTTTTCAAAATCTCTGCTCCCAAATTAAGTCCTATAATAAGTATATGCATATTTACATATATGTTTGCATATGCATAGATAGACACCATTAATTAGATAGTAAAACTTGTAACTACATGTTAGTCCTAAAGACCTATGGAGTCACTGTGACGGCACATGTCTGTAATCCTATCACATGGGAAATGGATGCAGGAGGATCTCAGAGTTTTAGGCCAGCCCATTTGAGGCAAGCCTGGACTACTCAGTGAGATCCCTTTCAAAATTTGTTTTCAGAACGTCTGTGGCACGACTGGAGATATGAGATGGCTCAGCAGTTAGGAACACCTGCTGGTCTTCCAGAGACCCGGGTTTGGGTCCTAGCAGCCACGTGGCCAGAGGCACTGCCCAGCATGGTGCACAGACGTATATCCAGGCATGCAAACACGCACAAGTGTTGTTTTAAATCTTGCATTTTACCAGTGCCACTGGGGTAAAGTGTAGAAATAGCATTTTTCTGAAAAGGTTTTGTTGTTTTCCATTTAGACAGCGTCAGCTAGCATTTTGAATAGACTTTAAAGGACAAAAGGACAGCTGAGTTATGGAACATTAACTTCCAGTTGTTCTGTCAGTATGTAGGAAAATCAAGTGAATATTATCACAACAGTCATAGTTTGAGACAGGGTTTCTCTTTGTAACCTGGCTGTTCTGGAACTCACTCTGTAGATCAGGCTGGCCTTAGACTCACAGAGATCCTCCTGCCTCTGCCTCCCAAGTGCTGGAATTAAAGGCATGCACCACCTCCCTGGCTGTCCTTACATTTTAAAGGAAATATTTTTGCCTACCTAGCTATTCCTTCTCTTTGTTCTATTCCTGTAACACCACAGAATAGCCTTAGGTGACTTTGATAACTTTTTAAGTTGTGCTATTTTATAGGATATTAAGAAGCTTCATAAGCAGATTCAACGATGTTACGCAGAAAACCCGTGCGGCGTCACCCTGTGCAGGTGTGTGTGAAGGGGTTAGAGGAAACTCAGCTTTCTTCCCCATCTCCCATGACGAGGCATGGATTGTTGTCCTTAGCTGGGAGTCTTAGAGGTTTCTTGTGTCATGCTTATTTGATCTTTTTTTTTTCTACAAAAATATTTTGAACATGAGTCTTGTGCATTTTCAGTGACTGTCCACCGCTGTGTAGATGGGCGTCTTTGATTTAGGACATGTGCATATCTTCACACCAGGTCTCAGCTTCTGACTCCTTCCAGCCACGGGAAGTGGGAAAGGAGGGTTCTAGGCTGCCCTGTTCCGATGTGTACAACAAGGCCTCTTAGCTGTGGGTCTGTTTTACATTTCCTTTGACAGTTCTGAAAAGGATTTCTTAAATTTAGTTGAGAGTAATTGTGGAGACTAGTTGGCTGCTGCTGTGACTCCTACCTCAGACGGGAAGAACCAAGAACTTCCCACATGTGCTGTGCTTAGATGTGTGTCTTACCATGTGGAGCAGTATGGACTGTGTTTTCATATAATTCTGTACCTGCTTCAGTGATAGCCTTACATATATATTACATATATGTAATTATATATACATATACATTTACATATATATATACACACACACACTTTTCAAGGTCTTCAGCTTGATACAGCTGTAAAGTGGGGGTCAGGAAAGGCTCCACAGCAGCAAAAATAGCAACAATAATTAATAGTGGCGGGCCCTTCCTCCCAGGAGGGGGATGAGAACCCGAGGAAAGGGCAGTGAGTTTGCAGCATGATCTTCAATGGCAGACAGAGGGAGGAAAATGTGGGTGGATGCCACAGCCACTGGGTTAGCACATGCCCTTTCTACCACCTAGTACAGGGTTGCTCAGGGTTGGTAACAGTTCTTTTTCTTAATCACTGGTCATCAGATGAATGACGAGGGAAGTAAAATACTCAGAAATAAACTGATTGTTTTCCTTCTTTTTCTCTGCTTACCTTGCTCATCAGTTTTATTTGACAAGCCATGGAGGGTCAGCTGAAGAAGAACATGAATGAAACGACAAAGGATGGGTCAACTGGAAGGTAGTACAGCAGTCCACTCTCGTGACACTCAAGTACCTCTAAGCTCCTGGAAGGCCTCTTTATTTTACCTAAGCTCTCAGTAATGGTGTGCACTAAGCCTGTGTGTCAGTGCACCCATGTTTATAGAGGTGTGCACCAAGCCTGTGTGTCAGTGCACCCATGTCTCAGAGGTGTGCACCAAGCCTGTGTGTCATTACATCCATGTCTAGAGAGTGTGCACCAAGCCTGTGTGTCAGTGCACCCATGTTTATAGAGTGTGTGCACCAAGCCTGTGTGTCATTACATCCACGTCTAGAGGTGTGCACCAAGCCTGTGTGTCATTACATCCATGTCTAGAGGTGTGCACCAAGCCTGTGTCATTACATCCACGTCTAGAGGTGTGCACCAAGCCTGTGTGTCATTACATCCATGTCTAGAGTTCCATGGGGAGAAGCTAAAGAACAGAATGAGATGTCTGCTCATTTGCGTTTACTCTCCTAAGTCTTGTCTGCTATTAAAACCACTTCTATATAATAGAAATACCCAAAAGTCTCTCTAGAATTTGAAAAGTGTCTCTACATGTAAATCCGTGCTGCTCATTTTGTGAGCAGTAGACAAACATGAACTCTTGAGAGGTGAAAATCTGGATCGTGAGTTGACATGTGCTGTAAGTGTGAGGTACATGCAGAATCAGAAAGTGGGGGTGGGATATAACATAGACATGTTATGTTAATATGTTGAAGGTAACTTATCCATGTTTAATTTTTAGTGTGGCTTCTAGAGGAGATTTAAATTCTCTGTGATGTACACTTTCCCTATTTTAGGTTTTTGTAAAGATGGCTGGGTACTCTTCTGTTCTGAGGAGTGCTATGTTCTGCTTGTGTGTGTTTGCTTTCAGCTTTCTCTTCTGGTACCTTCTGATCTAATAGCTGCTTTCAATAAAAGCCTGTCATACAGACATTTACAAGAAGATTATCCTTAGCAAGTCTTTAGATTCATGTCTTTTTTCCTAAGAAATAATGACTATAATAGACCAGCATACTTTATAGTTCAAGTCTTGCCAAGCTTATTATGTACACCCTCACTTTTCTAGAGAAATACAGATTTAGTGACTTCAGGTTACTCAGATACCTCTTGAAGCCACTACTAAGTATAGGAACACATTTATAGCATACTGTTTTCCAGAAAAGTAATTATATTAATCAGTAGCATACAATGTTAAATGTCTGCTTCACTTGATTTTCTTTAAAATTATTGTGTAAAAGTCAGGGGAGTGGTAACATCATTCAAGCAATTAATGTAACTTGAAAAATCTGGGCTGCCAGCTCTCACTCAGCCTTGTGTCTCTGAATTGATAATTTTGGTAAAGAAGCTTCCAAGTTTGTCTCCTTGTAGAAACAGACGCATTCAATTAATTAAATTGACAAGCAGTTTTGATGATTGACATAGGGAGATGTAATTAGAAAAGGCATTTCTTGTCTGGAAAATGGTGTGATCAAGACAGCAGGAAAATTACATTTTTATTTTTTATTTTGGGATCCGAGATAAAATGAGAAAGATAGTCTAGTGCCATATTCACACGAAAGAGTTCCCTAAGTTAAGGGGAGTTTGTTTGGTGTTAACCCTCCAGAAAAGGGCTGAATAACAACAAGTGAGATTTTAGGAACTTAGCTTGTCATCGTGTGTGGAATTAGATTAGGGACTGAGGCTCCAACCAAGGAAATAAGGTTAGTAGAGTATGTCAGTGACTGAGCTATGAGGGGAAGGGAATTGGTTATGGATTTTAAGCACTGTTCTAACAATAGCCTCTCAGGCTTTACTCCAGATGGTTTTTAGAGAGGTTTCTTTTGGGAAAAGAGGATAATCATGTTTAGCTAGTGTTCACAGTGTCCTGCTAATTAATACGCATCCTCCTTTTGTTTTTAAAGGATATCCACATCCAGTCAGAGCACTATAGTGAACTCATAAAAAAAGAAGACCTGGTTTATCTGACATCAGACTCTCCTAATGTACTGAAGGACTTAGATGAATCAAAGGCCTATGTGATTGGAGGCTTAGTGGACCACAACCATCACAAGGTACTGTGCTCTCTGCCCTGCCTAAACCTGTGTTTCGGGTAGTGAGGAAGTCCTCAGGATGATGGTCTTTCTTGAGCACCTGTGACTGTGGTGGTAACCCTCCCTGCAGCCCTGGGAGAGACCAGGGCAGTTTTTTCTATACTTCACACACAGTTTTGGGTACTAAGAAATTGAACCTAAAGTCAACCGTGTTGGTTGGCAAAGCAGATTCTGGAAATGACCAGATTGCTGCAGAGTCTATATGCCTAAGCTGTGTGTGCTGTGTTGCTGAGGGCTCTGATGCTAAGGAATTGCTAAGCCACTGAAGCTTATACCAATCTTTAAGAAATAGGTTTCATTTTTGTTTTATGTGTATGAGTGTTTTGCCTGCATGTGTCTTCGCTTTGCTTGCCTGGTGCCCTTGAAGGTCAGAAAGTGATGTCAGGACCTCGGGAACTGGAGTTACAGAGCAGTTGCGAGCCACCTGCCATGGATGCTGGGAGAGTGAGCCCAGCGGTCTGCAAGAGCGGTGCTGTTAACCACCGAGTCCATGCCAGCTCTATAGCAGTTTTTAAATACGTGATTATCAAATTAGTTTTTCTCTCCATTTTTTTCTCACCTTATGTTTTATGTATAAAACGTTACAGAACTCCCACTTAATGAAGAAAACATTTTTGTGTACTTTGCAACATGCTCAGTTCATCCTATTTTTCTGAAGAAAAAGTATTATTTCTAAGTAAAGAAATATTGTCAGCACAGTATATGAAGGAGTTGTGTGTTCTTCTGCAGCAGTATGTACGTAGAATTTCTACCATGTCACAGGTGAGCACATCAGCCTGGCCAGCAGTGGCTGCATGGCTGTGGCACACCAAGCTGCACTACAGCAGAGAAACTGGACTTGTTTTTGTAAAACTGTGATCTTGAAGGGGCCAGGTGTGGCTAGCCATGAGCTGAGCAACTCATGACAGTGAAGGAACCTTCTCGTCAACCTTTCTGTTGTTCTCAGTGGGAAATTCTAGCTTATATGCACAAACATATTGTCTGCTCAAGTTGTGTCTCTTTCTCTAATAAAATAGTTTTTTTCCCAAAGCCCCTAGCTCCTCTCTATCTCTTGTCTCCCTGATACACTAAGTACTTGTTGAGAGATTCAGTTTACATTTCCTGGATGGCCCTTCTGGGTGCTTTTATCTGGGATAGACATAGACTTCAAGCATTTCCAAGTTTGAGAAAAGATAGAATTCTTATCTGATTTGTAGTTATTGAAAGCCAAAAATAAAATATAAGGACCACTGAAATACTTTTCAATCTGGATTTCATCCCATTGCCATTTGTGTGCCTTTGTCTATTTCGATCTCACAGAAAGAGTGATGGTTTCTCTCTGAATTCAGCTGGAGAGTTTAACACTATGAGAAATGGGGTGGGGGAGGGAAGAGAATAATCAGAAAACATCTGCTGCAATTCTTTGTTCTGCCACCTAGAGGCTTCCTAACTGCTGGGAAGGCAGTTTTCACCTCTGGGAAGTGAGGTGTACACAGGGCTGGATGTTCTCTCTCTGCCTGACTTAGAGCACACGTTCCAGATAACATTAGACCTACACTCTCATCGACTGTACATCTAAACCCCGTTGTCTTTATTTTCAGGGTCTCACACTTAAGCAAGCATCCAGTTACGAATTGAGCATGCACAGCTCCCTCTTGCAGATTTTGTGAAGATGAACAGTGTAAAGTCCTGGCAGTTAACCACGGTAAGCTATGGAGGTGACTGAGGTGTCCCTGAGTGGCGGACACCAAAAGAGACAGTACATTCAGACTCGGACAGATAGAAGAGAGAAGCCGTTTGTTTATTAGAACAAGAGTGAGTCTCTAGACAGTTCTGAGAATCTACAAGACCTATAAAGACAACTCTGTAATCTCGAACTCGAAGAGACTTTTTTGCTCAACTTGTGGCGTGTTTCCTCCCAGTTCTTTTCCTGTGATGAATCTGGGGGACCCTCCTTCATTTCATCAGAGTTTTCATGGGATTGATTATTAGTGACTATGTGATATTACAGCCTCTAAATAATCATTTAGTCATTTCCCCATTATATATATATATGTATATATATATGTATATGTATATTTCCATCATGAATAACATTGTGATACAACTCTGCTTTATAATTAGAAGGTTTTGAGAGGGGTTTCACTGTATAGATTAGGCTGGTCTTAGAGAAATCCACCTGCCTCTGCTTCCATCCCTGAATATTGAGATAAAAGCCATGTGTCATCAAGCCACCCCATCTTTAAATTTTGTAAAGATTTGTTTCTATTCTCTGTGTATGAGTGTTTCGTCTGCATGTATGTATCTATACCAAATGCCTGTCTGGTGCTTGTGGAGTCCAGAAGAGGGAATTGGATCCCCTGGAACTGGAGTTATGGCAGTTATAAACAGCTGTGTGGGTATTAGGAACTGAACCCCTGTCCTCTGTAAGGAACAATTTTTAGTCAGTGCACAACAACTTATGTAATCTAAGTTCTTTGTGTATAGCAGGCTTTATGGGGTAAGAGAAATTAAATTAAATTACTTATTCAAGGAACAAATATCTTCAAAAACCTTTGATACCTTTTGTACTTTTGTACAAAGTTATCAGAGATAGCCCTCCCACAGTGTGGTGGACCTAGGGACAGTATGATATCCTTTTCTGCTAATGTGAAAGTAGAAGACAAGAAGCAGGCAGAAGGCTCATTCGGTGGTTCTTCCCCATAGGGAAGGGCGAGGAAGTGAGCTGAATGCTAACCATGGGGCTTAGGGAGAAAAAGATGGAAAGAACATAAAGACTTGAGAGCCATGGGGCAGTTCATCCCTGATAGCCAAGGGGAGGAGGGGTAAGAACTTTGCAGTAATTAGGACAAATCAGGACAGGGGCCACAGTGCAGTAATTAGGACAAATCAGGGCAGGGGCCACAGTCTAAGACAGCATGCAGCATCGTGGTGACCCATTTGTCTGTGTCGCAGTGTTTGAGATTATCCTGGAGTTCTTGGAAACAAGAGACTGGCAAGAGGCGTTCTTTACCATCTTACCCCAACGGAAAGGAGCTGTTCCTGCACACAAAGCCAGTGGAAAACTCTCCTCAGGGGACCAGCAGCCCCGGCCAGAAGCGGGGGCAGTTCCAGCGAGGGAGAGCAGTCCAAGAATGACCCCGACTCACCACAGAGAGAAGAGCAGGGCCAGCAGAGCAACCAGCCCGGTGTCCTCAGTGAGTCCGTCCACAGTGACCAACCTTCCCTAGCTGTCCTTCCACTGAAGGAGCGCCCAGACAGTGGCTCGTCACAGAACACTCAGACTACAAGGAAGGTGATTTTCTCTCATCTCTGTTGTGGGGTTTTAAATCGTGTCAAAAGTTAAATGATAATGAAAAACCCTTTAAGCACCAAGAAAGGATTATTTGGTTTTGTGTAGGAAGGCCTAAAGGTATGATTTCAAAATTGTTTTTAAACCTCAAGTCAGAGTCATGGAGAATGTTACCGTATTAGCAGGCCTTCATTCTCCTCCCCTTCACTGGAGTGTATTTGTCAGGATGTGCCTTCTGACCTCTTAGCTTTGTTCTTTTATGTTCCTATCAGTGTCTGTCTGTTTGGTCTGATCCTGTTTGGTGGACCGGATGTTCATGAATGTTCTGGTGTCTACTAGAATGTTGAACTTGGGAGGCTGCCCTTATACCTGTAGCTTTTGTGTTCAGCAGAGTTCTTTCTAAGAAATATTTATTTCTGGAAAGGCACTAGTTGTTTGCTGGGCATAGCAATTTCCTTTGGATAGTGGAGCCCCGTTCCCTGTGCCTACGCTTTGAGTGTCTTCTCATACTTCCCTGAAATAATCACAAGAATAACCTTAATCCCTTAATGACAATAATAATTTAATTACCCAAATTAAAGTTTTGCGTTGGCTGGACTATTCCACAGTGTTATTCTTGAAGGATCAATTTGTCTTTACCCCAGTTTAAAGTAAAAACATCTATCCTTTCTATATTTTTCATATATATATAACATATATCTCCATATGTTAGCTTTCAATGTGAATATTGTACATCTCCCTTCTACTCTAGTATCCCAACTCATGTAAATGTGTGTTTCTGTAAATAACATAGGCATGTAGGAAAATGTACATGTAATAATGTTTACATCTGTCCACATCTCATTTAGCTCTCACATTTTAGTTCATGGTTACAGGGCTGATGTGTATTATTGTGGAATGATTATGCTGAATGCACTAATGCCCAAATCCAAAATTGAACAGTGGTTTACAAGGGAAGACTGCATGGCAATTACAGGGAAGCTCACACAGAGCAAATGCCCTGTCACCAGTTTAGTGGATTCCAGCAGCTCCTGCTCCCTGTGACACAACCTGTGTATTATGTTGTGTGTGTGTGCTAACATCACACTTAGATATTAGATTAAATGTTGATGTTCAATGTCTCTTTCTGTTGCTTTATTCTCAGCTACCTAATGTAGCTAGTTGTTTCAAAGTCTACAAACAGTGGATGTAAACAGCCACACTACAGTTCTAAAAGAATAAAGTTCATGTTGCTGTACTTGTCCAAGTCTCAGATTTTTGTGAGATGTTCCCCATGTGCTATGTGTGAGCACTTGGTCTCCAGCTTGTGGCTGTTTTGGAGGTTGTGGGAACTTTGGGAGGTGAAGCATGTCACTGCGCGTTGGATTTGAGGGGCTTATAACCCACTTCTGCTCCTTGTTGGTTGTTCTTTTTGTGCAGGTAGATGAGATCAGTGCCCCCAACTGCCAGGCCAGTTAGGCCTGCTCTTCCCTGGGTTTTCTCAAGCATTCTGCCATGCAACAGAAAAGTAAGCTAATACAGTGCCTTCCACTTACTTTCTATGAAATAGAATCCTATGTAATTATGGAAGTGGAGGAAATTATGTCAATACTGTAGTGACATATTATTTATGATTTATTAAAAAGCTTACTATGAGGATTCAGAAAAGAAAAGTCAGCCACAAGCCATAAAGTCAGGCATACACCTTTAACCTCCAGCAGTCAGAAGCTAGGTACACACCCTTTAATCCTAGGACTCCAGGATTAAGAGATAGAACCTGATCTCTCTGAGTCCAAAGCCACCCAGATCTATACAGTCTGAAAGGGAATTATTAAAGCTCACACCTTTAGTTCCAACATTAGGAAAGTATACAAGACAGAAGCAAGGTCTCTGAGAGGTATTCCTCTCCAGCCACACTGAGGAGAGGCAGCAGTCTGAGACTCAGTGAAGAGCTCGTGTGTGGATCAGCCCTTTCAGCCTGAGCTGAGGTGAGCTAGTGGCCAGCTGCTTTGCTTTCTAATATTCAGCTTGAAGCTTGAACCCCAATATCAGTTTCTGGGTCATTTATTATTATTATTATTATTATTTGTTACAAATTACCACATGGTTTAATTTTCATTACTTGCAAAGCTCTGTATTGGTTTCCTAGGTGTGCCGAAACAAGTCACAATAGACTGAGTGGGCTAATATGACCACAACTTTGTTTTCTACAGTTTCAGAAATTGCAGGTTCAGAATCAAGCTGATAGAACCAACTCCCCAGTATTGTAAGGTACCTGCACACGAGTGGCACACACAATACACATTTAAAAGAGTGTATCTCAACCGTTGCCAGAAGACAATAGTCACCATTCATTTTCAAATAACTAATTTCTGGATTATTTGAAGATTGGCTCTAAAAATAATACCTAAAGACCTTTTCTTAATGTGTTGTTTCTTTTTTCAACTTTTTTTTGTACAAGAGGTAAAAATGAAAGGGGAAAGAATAGGTAAAGGTGAATTAATGGGCACAGAGGGGCTAGAGTTGCCAGTGAATGGGCCCATGGGAGACATTTGTCCCTCTTTCCCCAGCTCACCGGAGGCATGTGCAATGAGCTTAACATATTCCCCAAAGTCAGTGGCAGGCTCAAGAGATGGGACCCTTGCTGGGAAGTATTGGATCATTGCATGAGATTTAAGCCTTGGCACTCCTATGTTTTCATTGTGAAACTGCCCATGGTACCAAACTCAGTGTTCATATTTTAAATGACTGTTACCATGTTTATCCTGTCGGGAAGAACAAAAGATTGCCTGTGAAATAAGTAAGCAATGCGGATGTGGTGATGCTTTCACACACTGGCTTTCTCTCTTGCCTTTCTTCATTTCCCTCATTTCTCATGAATGCACACACATAAGCTGTACATACAAATATATGTGCATGTATGCATGCACACACAGATACACACACATAAAACAAAACTTGTTGAGATAAGAGAAAAGCCTCACTATGCAAAAGAAAAACCTAAGCAGCTGGAAAGAGGAATTCAACCCCTGAAAGTAAGCATTTTCCCCTTGAAGCATCTCCCAGACCCCAGTGGGGATGATCTTTAGTAGTCTACAGAACAGGCCCAGTGTGATCTCGAGAGTCTTTGTTACAAGTGAACAACTTGACTAGCTAATGTTCTCTTTCAAGATAGAAGACAGCCACAAATGAAGGGGTGTGGATCATCTGTAGAAGAAAAGCCACTCTTCCCAGAGCCTCCCAAAAGAAAATGACTTCATTTTCATTTTAGCCCATTCCCCTTCTTTGTCTCCAGAATTGTAACAGAATAAAATTGTGTGGCATTAAGTCACTAAGGTTGTAATACTTTGTTGCAGCAACAGTAGAAAATGTACTTTTCTCTGGTCTAATTTCTTCTGTCTGCTGGGTGCAATTGGCAGTGATACTCTAGATGATAGTTGAGCCACAAGGTGGAAGGATCCCCGGCCTCTCAATCACCAAGCAATGCAAAGGTATCCACTGAGTACGAACATGAGTCCTGAACTCTTATGTAAGAAATAAACCTTGTTATGGTTGACCCACAATATGTTACAAACTTACACTAAAGAATAATAGCTGGGTCCCAAGAATATTTCATTTAAATAACACAAAAAAAGTCTATATTAATTATTTTCATCCATCATTAGCACCACTAGCAGAGTGAAAATAAACTCTGTGGCTTGTGAATGAAGAAGTAACATTTATTTATTTATTTACTTACTTACTTACTTATTTGGAGAGGAGATGAGAAATTTTCTTTAACAGTCCCAAAACTTGGAAACATTATAGGTTACCAAAATTGGCTCAAATGTTAAAATTCTTGAGCAGTTTTTCCCCAACTGGATTTAGATTCGGCACTCAATTCTGATTATGGATGCCTTTCTGGTATCCTCTATGTTCAGGTACTAATATCATTATTACAGACAGGAAATGAGATTTAAATAAGCATGTTTCTTTCATGTGTATTAAAACTGACTACAAATAGAAATAATGTCTTCATTAATATTTATTTCTAGCATTATATACAATGTGGTTTTGAGACTTACATGGGCCACCATATAGGAGACCATTATTTTTTTTACAGTATTTTTGATGTTCTGTCCGTGAAGTTCATCTTTGTGAAAGAGCTGGCCCGCGTTCATTTCTACCTTTGGTGTGTTGAAGGACAGATGGCTCTTTGGTGAGTGTATTCCTTTTTTTCCTTGCTGACAGTGGCTTTGCTGATCCATTGTCCTGGGTGCTGAAACTGAGAGGAGGCTTTGGTTTTGCTGAAATACTCTGTAACAGGTATTTTCATCTTGTTTTTTCTTATATACAATGGGGTCTCAACCCCTGAAATAGAAAAAGAATGCAAATAAGACTGTAACCGAGAGACTGAATATAGCTTCTGCCTTATTTTATCAGTAAGTGGTGTGGAATTAAAAGCCAAACAGGCACTAAAAAGTCATAACAGAATCGGGTTCGTTTGACCGTGATCACCTACAATGAGATATTTGTGCTAGCATATATAGTCTGTTTTTTTGCCCTTAGAATTGTTGATGTGTGAGGGTGTTGGGGTAGGGACTGGACCAGTGAAATAAGAATCTGTTATCTTGACAGAGAAAACAAGAGATCAGACATGCATCTTAGAACAATTTAACTGCATCCCTTAGACCTTTCCAAAGCCCACACAGACACTCCCAGCCAGGATCAGGTTTGGAGATGCTGAATGTCTACTGTGGAGAGAAGCAGTGTGATCTGGAGATTGCAGTTTAAAAGTCTGTGCATCTTGGCAAGGCAAATCTATGTGTGGGTCGTTAGTAAGGCTCATGGATGAATAGAACTATCCTGTTCTAACTGTCATCCTAGAGTGAAGCATCTGGTGGGAGAGGCCAGGTGGAAAGGGGCCATCCTTGGAGCAAGAGGCAGGGGTGCTTTCCAATCTCAGCTACATTTACTGACTGGTCACAGACGGAGCCACTTTGGGGTTTAGTGAACTCCATGGGAAAGTGACAATGTCTAGGAGAATTCCACGTGATGAACCCCTCATTTCTGGTTAAGGGAAAGTGGGAAACAAGACTGTGACAGTTGCTCTGTAGTCTCTAATGCAGTTCTTGTTTTAATGCTGGGAGCTACAAGCCACAAAGTGGCTACCGTTGGACTATTCAGGACCAGGTAGGCTTTCTACAATGACTGGTCTCTATAGTTAAACTGCAGGATGGACAGGGCTACAATTGGTACACACTGACTTTCAGCTGCCTCATAGGGCACCTGCTTATGATTGCTACAGCAGTATTCTGTTCTGCTTGGTTTTCTTCCAGCAAATCATTTAGGCCCATGACAGTTAAGCTGAGCAGAGTAATCTAGGAAGTCACTGTGTCTGTGTGGGTCAGCCATCCTTCCCGTGATTGGGTGTGACTGTGTTGCTTCAAATTGGTCTGACGAGTTTTGTCAGATTTATCTTACACAGAATTGACAGATCGCTTTAGAGAGGAGCAGAAAGCCTCTAACCCTCATGGATTGCCCATTGAAAGCCAAGACCCTTAGCGCCCATACCCCTAAGTAGTCAGTACCTGATTTCCTTATACCACCTGAAATCAACACAAACTGTGCCAACAGCAGCGATACCGCTTTATTGCCTTCAGATCCTTGACTTGTTTCTAAATCAATTGGAGAAAGAAGAATTTGAGCAATAGCAACAGACTAGGGCATCAACAAGCTAAATGGCATCTATCTTAAATGTGCTAGCCCATCCTTGGCCTAAATTACTTACCAGTGACTACTTACTGGGAGCAAATATCTAGCAGGCCTACTGCATAAGCCACTCACTGAAAGGAGGTCAGCTCATACCAGGTCTTGCCTGCTGACTCAACAGAAACTTAACGGTGCAGACAATTAGAATGTATACTTTTAAAGTGGCTTTTTTTTTTTTAAATCACATTATTTTTGTGACTTTGCATTTAACTTAACTTTTAATTTTAGAAACAACTCAGGCCACTGCTCTCCCAGCCTAACACTCATTCCTTCAACATGTTATACATAATTCACTGTTTTGCTTTTGGGAGACAAAAATGCTGTATAGTCCAGGATAACATTAAATTTTAAATTATTTACTTTAAATTTGTAAACTCTAGCAGTCTCCTTAGTGCTGAGATTACAGATGTTTACCACCACACCAGCTGTTTTGTTAACATTGCATGGTTTAAGAAATACTGCTTCTATATGCATTATCAAGCTTGCTTGTGAACTCTTGATGAAAAGTGGGCTCAGAGGTGAGCGGCATGTCGAGCTGTGGACTATCTATCCCCTAATGTTCTAACTTTACTACAGAGGCTGGTAGTCAGAGATGGGTAAGGTCTTTTGCCTCAGGCAACCTAGAACAAGTCATGAATGACAGAATGTGTGCTTCCCACTGACAGGTAGTGCTGGAAGGTAGAAGAACACTACCTAAGATGAACACAGCTATCTGTCCTGTATGAGGA